GACCTAGGAAAACTTTGGAAGAGACTCTAAGAAAAGACTTAGAGTACTTGGATCTAACGGAGGACATGACACAAAACCGAGCGCAATGGCGTTCTAGGATTCATATAGCCGACCCCACTCAGTGGGAAAAGGCTTTGTTGTTGTTGTTGTTGTTGTTGTATTTGACACCGGATATTTCGGAAACATAAAAGCAACCGTGAAGGAAACTTGAGTAGGGTTGCTTACATTTGGTCTCGTTTGATGGGAGAGCTGCCTCGGTTTCTCCCAATATGGAGTAATGTTTTTGATCATTTTAGCTACAAGTCTCTCGTACTCTAGCGATACCTAATACGACAGAATGTGGGACCGAGTACAGCTGGTAGCACCATGGGATTCCTTCTTAGCCAAATATGGGGTATTAGGGCGTTTCAAGCCCAAAAGTTTGTGCCGGCAGCTCCAGCACATGGGCCCAGCAATGGTTGATGGCTTTGCATGAACGAACCGAATGGTTGTGCTCACTCACCAGCGGTCTCGTCCCCGTGATGGGCCACGTGATTTGACCGTGATAACCTGTTGGGTGGCACGTGCAGCAGCCCATATGTTGGCCTTTCGACCAACGTGCCCCTTGGAGGGCCACTTATTCTCGGTTTGAATTTTATCTTGAAAGTGCCTCTTTAGAAATACAATTTTTTTTTTTTTGAGAATTGTTATTAGGATTTTAAAAATCTTATTTGATATTTTAAATTTTTTATAATTAGAAAGAAAAATACATTTGTGAGGAGTGGGAGTTCGGACGCCAGACAGTGGAACAATCTAGTTTGATATCGAATTCGTCATCTACGAAATTTAAACTTAAAATTTCACACTTACAAATAAATAAAAATATCATTAGATTGTAGTACATAGTTGTTGACCCTAAAAACTACCAAGCCTACGTGGCGCGCAGGCCGAGTAATCTATAAGCTAACTACGTCCTTCGGTGAATGCGGGGCGTGCCAACTTGTCGGCCGATGAGTAAATTTGTTGATGTTGGGTGTGCGGCTGACTTCTGCGTCTTGCGATTGCGGCGGAGAAAAGACACGTCTCGGCCTCTTGGGCTCTCGAACCTGAAGACAAGGTTACTATTCTTACGAAGTTCAATATCAAATTCGGCTTTCAATGTGCCGAATGTAATAACTTGTAACACCTCACTTCATCGAGAAGGCTAATGAGATGACCTCGACCAATAAGGATTCAGAAATCCTTCTTGACCGAGACTTGGATAGGTAATCAACCGTCCTCGCCGCAATGTTGTTGATGCCAACGGAAGATGCTGCCAGATCGGCCGATTCTACGGTGACAGAGCTATCTATGTCGACTTAAGATATCACCGGTTGCTTTCACAGTGCTGTTGATGCCAACGGAAGATGTGTCAGCGAAAAGAGAAAATAAAAATCTTAGTTGTTGAGAGAGTTTGCGCAGGACAGTTGTGTGTTGAATTGGAGCCCCTATATGCTGTCACTGCCTTTTGTATTTATAATTCATCAGTAGCCTTGCCGTCGTAAATTCTAGGATAATGAACATTATCTTTCAAGTACGCATATTCCTGCTTGGCACGACTTGATGACTTTGTAGAGGGATTCTATTACTTTCTCGAGTCTGATAAAGATATGATAGAATTATAGTTGCACTGGAAGTTGTCAACTATCCCATTGACTCACACTTTGCATGTTGCCTACATGGAATCTCATCCTTATTCATCACATGCAATATCCCATCTGCCATGCGCTAATTATGGGATTGCATGGAATTATCCAAATACCAAGACCTCATTAGCTTGAATCATTTGGCTAACGATAAAGACCAGGTAAAAGAGGCCTAAGGTTGCTGGTAAGTGAATTGCTGCTTGCAACCTCCTTTTATTTGACAATCGAAAGTGGCAAGATAATTTAGAAAGTTATTAAGAGATAATTATCATGATTAAAAATCACAATATTATCACTCAATCAAAAATTATCTTAACACTTCAAATACCCAACGGTCTAGAACTCTGCTCGTTCAACAATCTCGATCACTTAGATCGATTGTGTAATTTTAGGTCCAAACAATAGTATTGAGCGGCTAGAAACACAAACGGAAAATGGTTTTATAGTTTTTGATAAGGACAAACTGTATTGAGTTAGGTTTTTCCCTCATTGATTTAACGAGGTGGGACCAAATTATAGTTAGTAAGTGACTTGATTGAAATGATCAACTCGATATTGTTGAATTACTATTTTAGTGGGCCAATAGGATCCTCTTCAGATTCTTTGTGATGAAGATTCGGGGGATTCGTGAATCGTATCCGTTCATTGTACATTATGCGATCAATTTTTGTCAAGTACTGTTTATGTTTAATTTTAAATAAAAATATTTAAAATGATTGTACGATGAACGGACACGATTTACGGATCCTCGGAATCCTCACAAGGAGGATCCATCGAGAATCCAAATTCTTTAGTGGGAGTCTGAAATAGTTAAACACGTTCTTTGACAGTTAAAAACCATTTTAACGATATTTTGTAAAGAAATTTAAAAGCGTTTTTAAGTCATAAAAGCGATTTTTGTATTGACACTTGCCAAATGTTATTTCAACAAGCTTTTTTCCAAGTGCTTTGGATTTTCAATGTGAGTTTTTCCGTGTAATAAGCGCTTTTGATCATAAATAATTCCTTCAAAAGCAGTCACTCATAAATGTCATATTACCTCTCAAACTTCTTTTCATATGATTCTAAGATCTTTACATGAGAAAATTATACCACAAATTTGAAACGTCTATCAATATTTTGTATTACCTCCATCCTATTTATTTTTCATATTTTTAATATAATTTTCTTTTGTAGAACATTAAGATGTGTTAAGTTATTTTTCATGAGATGTTTGAGAATCTTCGAACCAAAAAAATATAATCTTATGTTTTCTTTTATATTAACACGAAAAAAATATGCATGATTACAAGAAAGGAAACGAACTAACAATTCTAATGCACATATAACACGAAACCATCAAATTTAAAGTTTAAAAAAAAAAAACACTTATGACATAATACTTGGATTCAATTAAAGAGTCATGCAATTGTTCAAGAGAACATCATACATCAAAACTAACGGGAAATCAAATCAAAGTATGAAATCAATTTGGCTAATTTATGTATTATTAGATTTGGTAAAGCGTTGGATACGTGAAACTCGTGCACCATAAAAAAATTACTAACCAAATGAAAATAGCATATTATAATTCTCCTTTTAGCCTTGAGATGTATGAATTTATCTTTCTACTTAAGAGAATCTACAACAACAACAATAATAATTATTGTTAAAAGCTTAAGAGAATGTATTTAACAGAAAAATAATTAAAAGATAAATATGTCCTCCACGTTTTAAACACATGCTAAAAATTAAAAAAGAAAAGCATTCAATTTGTTTCTCATACGTAGCTTCTTCTGCTTCCATATTTGCAGTTCCATGTCTCTAGTTTACAGATTATTTACCAAAAATAAAAATTATGAAACTAAAATCAATTATTTTACAATATCATTTTTTAATGATTTTTTTAATGTTATGAAATATTATAAAATTATATCAATTTATGTATTTTTTTTTAAGATATTTGATATGTTGATCTTTTTAAATTGTAAATGTGGCAATCACCGAACGCGTTTTCATGGTGACATGGAAGTCACAATTACACTATCAGGATCGAAAATAGTTATCATAGAACTTTGACATCTCTTTTAACTGATGATTTTATACTTCAAAACGACAACAAAAAATATTAATTAATCATTGTTTCACTATACATAAAAGTGTTTTTTACACACCCCAAATGAAGACGAACAAACAAAAAGAAAACTATTTAAAATTTTAATGTGCAATTTCAAAGAGGCTTATTTTTATCAATCCTAAACTTGATTTCAATCTCACTTTACTCCTTAAAACTCAAAAGTTGTTACTTTCCTCTTTGGAACTCGATTTTGATCACACTTTATTTCGTAAAACTCAAGAGTCGTCACTTTACTCCCTGAAACTAGATTTTGATCCTTGAAATTCAAAACTCATCACTTTACTCCTTAAAACTCAAAATTCTCTTTATTATGTTGTTTCAATTTTTTTTTGAATAAGTTCATCCATTCAAATTTATACTTAGTAATATGTCAATATCCCCTTAAATTAGAAAATAGTAAAAAGGAACAAAAATAACCATATTTTCTCTTCACTAGCCATCTCCATTAAGAACATAAGAACGTAAGAAATGACAAAATCAATGAAACTAATGATAAGGTGGCTGGAGATGGAGGGAGAAGGGATGAATGTTATACAATGTTCTTAGATATGTTAGCTTATACTTGTACCACGCCAACCATAAGTTGGCTCTAATTATGCCACTTATTAAGCCAAATACTTAGAAACAAGCAAAAGTGGAGTAAATATTGAGTTTCAGAAATAAAGTAACGACTTTTAAGTTTTAAGGAGCAAAGTGGGACCGAAATCGGGTTTCAGGGAACAAAGTGATGATTTTTTTAGTTTCAGAGGCAAAGTATGATCAAAATCGAGTTTCAGGGAGTAAAATGACAACTTTTGAGTTTTAAGGGGCAAAGTGAGACCGAAAGCGAGTTTCAAGATGCAAAGTGGCGACTTTTGAGTTTCAAATAGCAAAATGTGATCAAAATCGAATTTCAAAAATCAAAGTGACAACTTTTGAATTTAAAGGACAAAGTGAGATTGATATCGAGTTCCAGCGAATCTACCTAAAAATATGCCTTAAAAACCGAGTTTTTTTTTTTTTAATTAACCCTTAACATTTTACAACAAAAACAAAAAAAAAAACCTTAAAAAAAAAAAAAAACAAAATCACTGGCAGAAGGTATGGCCTCGTTTGCTTCAGCTAACAGTGCGGTTCTGTGCCGTTACTTTTTTTTTATTAAAAAGAAATAATAATTATCATAAAAACAAACAAATAAATCGGCCCAAAATTTGACAGGCTCCTCCTTTTCCGCGTTTCGATTCAGAAAATTTAGCAAATTAAACTCCACAATTTGCGAAAAAGAAAGAAAATAAAAAAGCTCGAAAATTATCCGAAATTAGGCAAGGCCAAAGATATTTGCTTTTCCATTTCTGGCAAAAGAAAGTAGCATTACTTTCACACTTTGGTTTCTATCTTTTCACTTTATTCTTCAGCTTTGGATTTCTCCTTGGGGGTTTTGAGCTCGGCGATTTCTTCCCCTTTTTGCCCATCTGCTTCTTCCTGCTTCCGAGAATTGAGTCGTCGGCGTTTCTTGGTTTCGCGTGGGAACTGCTTTTCTGCTTCAATTCAGGTGAGTGCGTGCGTGCGTGAATTGAATGAATTTTGGATTTTCAATTTCAATTTTACTTTCTGTTTGGTTGCCGAGAAAATTTGGGATAAGTAATGGTGGAGGTGGCATGTGTTATCTTATCTTATCAGCTCAGTTAACTTATTGGTTACTACTTGTTACTCTATGGTGAGACTTGAATTTCTCTGTTTTTGTCTGTAATTTTGATAGTTGTGTAATTAACTTGTGAATCAAGTGTTTGTAATTAAGAAGGATATTGCTGATTGACAGTATGCGTAAATTTGGAATTTTGATCAGTTTTGGTTCTCTTTCTTTTGTTTCTTTATTCATGAATTCCAGTTCAGAATCACTGTAACTCTATCAAAGCGTCATCGTGAAGATGTGGTTGCACGCAATTGTTTTTGCCTTTTTGATAGTCTTACGGTTTTGATCACTTTTTGAGGAATACTTTTAGGTACTTGAACGCGGTCTCTCACCAAACAAATCCCCTTATAGAGGGTTGTGAAGAGTTTTGTTGAATGCAATCAGTATAGACATCATGGAGGATGCAGTGGCTGAGGAAGTGAACCCATTAGATCCAGCAGAGGTTGCACAACTCCAAGGGAAAGAGAATGACTACTCACTAAAATCTGAAACCGGCAACCCATTGGAATGCCAAGAGATGCGTATACCAGTTGACGGTGATTATCCCTTAAGCTCGCAACATGAGATTTTAGAGAAAGTAGATATGGCTAGCTATGTTAACAAATTAGAACACCCATATAGTGGCCTAGGCTTTATGAATGATGTTGGTTTCATGGAGGAAGAGCTAACTCTGAGGAATTACAATAGTTCAAACCTAGCCATGCTTGATACATCAAACAATCAAGGAAGAATGCAATCTAGGCAGAACCCGCAACAACATTTATTTCAGCTAGCAAGTGGATCAGGAAGTGGGAGTTCACAAGTCAAAACTGCAGTCAAGGATAATGGGAAGGCAATTTCCGGTGGCTTGGAGAATGAGGGGGCCACATCTTTCCCTGGTTTTTGGAATAAAAGGGAATTAAGTGACAATCACTATGACGTTGTGGAAGAATTGACAAACATTGAAAATACGGGGGCTTCAGCCAACACTTATGCAGGTATTCGGACAAAAATCCTATCTAGGCCAGGATTTTCTGAGTTTTTTGTTAAAAGTACACTGAAGGGTAAGGGTGTCATATTGAAGGGTCCGAATCATGAGAATGGTCACATTGAATCTAGAAACCTGAATAGTTTGAAGGTGGCCGGTGATTCTTTGGCAGCTTCTAATCCAACAATGAGTATGAATGCAAATGTCGTTACGCCTTCTTCCAATGGTGTGAATGTCGGGCTTAGGGGTGGTGGCTCTAATCATGATGAAAACAGTTTGAGAGAATGGCTGAATATTGGACGTCCTAAAGCGAATAAAGTTGAATGCTTGTATATATTTAGACAAATAGTGGATCTGGTGGATAATTTTCATTCTAAAGGAGTTTCTTTGCCTGGATTGCGACCTTCTTTCTTCAAGTTGTTACCTTCAAATCAGGTTAAGTATGTTTGCTTACCAGTCCGGAACGAGATGCTTGAGAGTACGAGGGATAGAGATACATCCCTTTTAGAAAATAGTTCAATCAAGAAAAAGCAAAAGATAAGTCAGAACACTAGATTGCACTGGCCCCAGTTCTCTAGCACTGCCTACTTCATGCATGATAATGTGAATACCAGCCACATCAACATCGCTCGTTTGCAGAACAGAAGTGATGCATTTGATGAACATAATCCAAGAACAAGGCATGAGATACGTACCATATCCACCAATCCTCATATGGATTATGCAGCTCAGCGGTTTACTCCAATAAGCGAGCTATTGGAAGAGAAGTGGTATATTAGTCCTGAGGAACTCAGTGAAGGAAGTTGCACAATTTTTTCAAATATCTACAGTCTGGGTGTTCTTCTTTTTGAGGTGAAAATTAGTGTTTCTGCATTTGACGCATTATATTTCTCTTCTAAATAGATGAAAAATCTAATGGATTAATTGGGGTCTTTGCTTTCAGTTACTTGCTCATTTTGACTCAAATAGTGCCCTTGCTGCCGCAATGTCCAATCTGCGCCACAGAATTCTTCCCCCAAATTTCCTGTCAGAAAATGGTAAGGAGGTTGGATTTATTATGTGGCTTCTTCATCCTGAACCATCTTCACGCCCAACAACAAGGTAATCCCGAACCCTTGTCATGTTAATTCATAACATTTTAGTTGACCTAAGTTACAGAGATTTTGAATTTTTAAGTGTGAAGGTGTGCTATTCCTTGTAAATAGTTTTGAAGGTAATATTGGAAAGGAGTAATATTTAGTATATTTGTTTCATAAAAGATATCTTGTAGAAATTAGTTGATTGAGCCATAAGTCATAGTGTCAAGGGTTGTCCAAATAGGTGTTATATGTATGTATTAATGTATAGAAAAACACAATGTGATTGAAATGCAACTGGAGAAAATTGAAGACCATTAATAGTATGTGAAACCTGAATTAAAAAATCTTAAGCCCATACCCTGTTCTAGGGCTCCGCTATTATAGTTAGTTGATTAATATTACTTTGAATCACAATTGAAATTAACCTGGGTTCGTGTGGAGGATCTTTTCAGGAAATTTCTCGATGGTCAATAGAAACTTGTGGATCTTGGGAAGTGCTTTTTCTTCTTTTAGAAAAATAATAATCGTACTGAGGGGTTGAAGCTTTGTATGTGAACCTCATTATCCTTCAGTTTTTCTTTTACATCAATGATCTTCCAGGTGTGTTTTGGATGTACAAATTGACTAGAGTTTGATGTTATTGTTCTCTCTCAATACCCTACTGAAGTGCACTGAGGCTCCTTTAGTGAATACTTTAGTATAATCTAACTTGATGAAAATTTTGTTAAGTCTGTAATTGCTTTGGTCACTCCCAATATATATATATATATATATATATATATATATTTATATAAATGTACTCTAACTAACTATCCTGACTTCTGATTTTATGATCATTGTTTTATTTTTTTGGGCGATGTGATCATTGTTTTTTTTTGGGTGATGTGATCATTGGTTATGACAGGCAAATTCTACAATCTGAAGTAGTTAACAGGTTACAGGAGGTTTCTGTAAAAGAATTGTCATCTTCTGTGGAACAAGAGGGTGCAGAATTGGATTTATTATTGCATTTCCTTACTTCTTTGAAAGAACAGAAGCAGAACCATGCCGCAAATTTGTTGGAAACCATTGGGTTCATAGAAGCAGATGTTGAAGAAGTGGAGAGGAGGCACTCTCTAAGAAAACCCTTGATTGATCGTGGCTTGTACGATGAATCCATCAGTGGAAGTAAATATATGTTCGTGAGCAAAGAAGATTCAAGGTCAGAGGTGCTTTCTCCATTATTTCCTGTTCCTAGTTCAAATGAGTCGAGGTTGATGAAAAACATAGATCAGTTTGAGAGTGCTTACTTCTCGATGAGATCAAGAATTCAGATTCCTGAGACTGATTCTAGAGTATGCAGAGATAAAGATTTATTAAGAACTCGCAATAATTGGTATGTGGGAACAAAGGATGAAGACAAGGAGACATGCACTGATCGACTGGGAGCCATCTTTGATGGTTTGTGTAAATATTCGCGGTATAGTAAGTTTGAGGTACGTGGCATACTAAGAAATGGAGATTTCAGCAGTTCCTCTAAAGTAATTTCTTCTATGAGTTTTGATCGGGATGAAGACTATTTTGCTACTGCTGGGGTTTCAATGAAAATTAAGATTTTTGAGTTTAATGCTTTCTTCAACAATTCTGTTGATATTCATTATCCGGTGATTGAGATGTCAAACAAATCAAGGATCACATGTGTTTGCTGGAACAACTACATAAAAAACTATCTGGCTTCATCTGATTATGATGGTGTAATCAAGGTGTGTATATCCTGTGCTATATTCACTGTTTATGTTACTGAAAAAAACTTAGTGATGTCTGAATGTTGACCTGACAGCGTCTGCATGTTCATCCTTATGATATATGTTTCACAGTAGTCTAATAGAGATATATGACTGTTGAGACTTTGTCTATCCATGTCTTTTCTCATGGATTTGTTTGTGGCTCGATTTCCCAAATATATTATAAAAAAATGACTATTGCTCGCCCTTATTTTTAATGAATTCTTGCATTGCATTTAACATAATATACTTATATGGATATCCAGTTATGGGATGCCAGCACTGGTCAAGAGTTTGCTCAATACACTGAGCATGTAACGAGGGCTTGGTCTGTAGACTTTTCTCAAGTATATCCAACAAAATTAGCCAGTGGAAGTGATGATGGTTCTGTAAAATTGTGGAGCATCAACGAGGCATGTTCTCTCTCTCTCTCCCTCCCTCCCTCCCACAAGATTTGCTCATTTTAAGACTCAAATTTACTATTGTGCGTGTGTGTTCGTATCTTTTCTATTTTGTATAAATCACAGGATTTGCTCAAATTAAGACTCAAACTTACTATTCAAGACTCTCTTTCTTTGATTTCTTATGATTCTTATATAAATTAAATTATGTTTGCTACTGATCTATGTAATTGAGCATATTTGAGAAACCCTAAGGGTCTCCATGGCCGGATAATATGGACATGTTTATACGTTTATGTCAATTTAGGATTTCACATTTTGTTTTAGGTCCAAAATTTGTGTTATGTAGGCCTTGCTTAATTTTTGTTGGGACTTTTTTAGCTAGGATTTGTTTTTATTATTATCAGGGGTTTCGTCATTAGCTTTATTTGTTACTGGGTTTGATTACCAATAACAATAAGGCTTATTATATGATAGGCAGTCCAAACCCAGCCAAGACGGAAACCATAGTCAGGGGAAAACAACTCCTAATAGTTAATAAATCCCATTTACAATCAAGCCCCGACAGAATATAAAAATTCCAAAGTGGAAGTAGAATATGATATCCTTAATTGACATAAATAATCCCTAATAACATCTTTCCATATTATCTGCACCAGTGCCTCAACATAAGTGCTGGTGGGGCTTTTGATGCTCAAAATATAGCACTATCCCTGTAAAGATATTGTGGCCAAATGATGCCTGACATATCTGTGTTTCACTTTGGAACTTCTTCATTTTAGTACTGATTATTGCTTAAGATTATCTGTGATGCTTCTGAAATCCCTTTTTTTATTGGGGGGAATTTTCTTTTCAGAAAAACTGTTTAGATACCATCAAGCACGCTGCAAATGTATGCTGTGTACAGTTCTCTGCTCACTCCTCTCATTTGCTGGCCTTTGGGAGTGCGGACTACCACACCTACTGCTATGATCTTCGTAATACTAAAATTCCATGGTGCGTACTGGATGGGCATAAGAAAGCTGTAAGCTTTGTGAAATTTTTGGACTCGGAGACCCTTGTTTCTGCATCCACTGACAGTACATTAAAGCTATGGGATCTTAACAGAACCAGTACGAGTGATCCGTCCACCGATGCTTGCAGCCTAACCCTTGGTGGGCATACTAATGAGAAGGTTGGCTACCCCACTAATTTTTTTATTGGCTCTTTATGTTAGAATCTCTTTTATATTCGTGTGATTTTGAGATCTGGATAATACTTGCTCTAACTACATTATAACTGTCTGACCAAGTTTCTTTTTCCTTTTCTCTGTTGGTTCACACTTCGGATGCTTACTCCCCCAGAACTTTGTCGGGTTATCCGTTTCAGATGGTTACATAGCATGTGGTTCAGAAACGAATGAGGTACATATTTAATTCCCATGCACATGAGCACTTGTATTTAATAAAACGAACAACTAATGGGCTTCTAATTGAGTGATAGGGAAAATTTTAACCAAAAAGAAAAGTAGAAGGAAATATTGAAGGCGAGGTAGTGTGCTTGTGTGAGATGTACAGTTCAATCATAATACAATCAACTACTTTAACTTTCTGTGTTGATATCCTTCAGGTTTATGCTTACTATAGATCTCTGCCTATGCCGATCACTTCACACAAGTTTGGCTCCATTGATCCTATTTCTGGAAAGGAGACTGATGATTATAGTGCACAATGGGTTTCGAGTGTCTGCTGGAGAGGGAAATCAGACATGGTTGTCGCTGCCAATTCAGACGGGTGTATAAAAGTGTTGGAGATTGTTTAAGAAAAAGGTAACCCCTTTGACATCAATCAGGAAGTCACTATCCTTTTGAAACCTTGTTGATGTTTTGTTATTCCCCGAGTTTTCTTCTGGAGGCTGTTTATAAAGTTGAAACTGTGAGTTCATACAGAGAAGCCCTAGGAAGTAAGTTGGAATGGAGTCAGAGACTATGAAATCTTAGCGCATCTCGGGTTCTAGCCACATCCTTGTTTGATGGGGGCCAAACTGACTAAATGATTGATGGTGTACGTTTTAGCTACAAAATATATAGTATCTGAAGGACATCAGCTGGTTGTGAAAACACTTTGAATCTTCAAATCCGAAGATTGACATACCAGCACGAGAGCTGACAAACTTCAAACAGTGCCGTATTGCGATATATAAAGGAGACTTGAGGATCGGTTTGTGATACTCGGCTTCAAAATTGTTAAACTGTGACCGAATGTGAAATCAGGGAAGCAGGTTGCAGATGAATATATACTCTTGGAGCAGGTTTGTCAATCATTTTCACACCAGCTATCACATAATGTGGCGAGCCAATTTGATCGGAATGTATGTGCAGTACAACGCTCTTCTTCATATGGAGCCATATGACGCTGTTTGTTGAGAAAAACGTCCGGAAAGCATTTGCAACACTTGCAACGAAGGCGATCTCAGTTGAGTTGTTTTGAGTGTATAGTGTAGAAATTATGGGTCATCTGTTGTAAATTCTCGGCAACTAGATTTATAGGACAACCCTGTTTTTGGGAGACCACAGAATTTACTTTGTATCTCATATGCGATTGCGCAATTATATCTTTTATCTTTTGGGTGGAGCTTTGTCAATTTAATTTTATCTTGCATCTGTAACATGCTGAATTCTAACTTGAATTAGAAGCCAAAATTTACTTAATTTGCCTCTTTTTGTTCTTTTTCTTTTTTGGTTGAAAAAATTGATATTATCTACATTAAGAGAGAGGAGGTGGGTTTAGCCTTACAATGAGCTAGCAATAGTGCCGTTCAAATTCGCATTTAACGAGAATCGAACAAACGATATTATCTACATTAAAGGGGAGGGATAATCGAGTTCAAATTCGTATTTGGCGAGAATCGAACGTAAGATCTCTCACATACAAGTGAAGAGAAATACCATTAGACCGTAATAGTAAATGACTTTTTTTTTAAATGAAAAAGAAACACAGGGTGCATGAAAGACGATACGTGGAATTATGTTCGTATACCTATAACGGTAAGAAATTTAAATTTTACAGATAAAGAGAGACAAGGAGTCACTGCTTCTAAAAAGGAACTAGAATTTTTGTTAAATGGAGGGGAACAAAAACTGATGTGTACTTGATTGAAATATATCGTGTTATTTTTTTTTTTTACAGTTTGCTAAACTCTATTCGACGCCAGCAAAGTTTCTGGTGTCAAAATATGTGATGTGAACCAAAAGACGCCTAATGTATCTCCGAATCCGAGACGTGTCCGCCCGTTCTGTGCCTGCTTCCGCTCGCACTACTCTTTGTGCTCATAGGACTCGGCTGTGGAGGGCTTTGGTTTGTCTTCATACCGCGTAGACATGGTTTTGCTGGAACCGAAAGCTTTGCTGGTGGAAGTTTCGGTGAAGCGAGTTTTGGTGGCGGAAGTTTTGGGGATGGAAATCTTGGCGACGGAAGCCTTGGCGTTGAGAGTCTTGGTGTTGTTGGTGTTTTTGATGTCCGTGTGTAACCTGAACAACATTTTTCCAGTCAAAGATTGTTAATGGTGAAAGTGCAGAAGCCCTAGGGCTTAAAGTAATCTGCTGATCGGTATTTCTTACGAGTACAGAAATGAATTGAGGTGGAATTATTGGCTGACCTGAGGCTTTTCTAGCCATCGCCTCTTGACGTTTCTTCGCAGTGAGAGTTCTCTTCATTGGAGCCTCGGAACAAACTGACCTTAGATCATAAGAGGACCTCACATCAAAACAGACGGACCTCGTTTCGCTTAGTGGTACGAATGGATCTTCTGCAATGGACATAGTGTCAACGTTGCCATTCGGAGATTCTTGCTTGAAATTTGCGGATGTTGTATCACTTATGGAATCCAGACTCCTGATTCTCATGATGCCAGGGCTAGTCTTCTCCTTCTCCCCAAGCCGGTAAGAGAACATTTGGAATGGAAGTTGCGATATTGAGGATAAATCAGCGTACCCGGCAGCTGAACTATTCTTCAGGAACCATGACTCTATCTCGCAGTAATCCGTAGGAGGGGATTGCAGTATAGGCTGATCGTCGTCGGGGTTCAGAGTAAGGAACTTCTTTATGTAGCGCAAAACGCGACAGATGGATGAGAAGCTCAGGCGCTGAGACGGGTCACTGTGCCAGCATCTCTTGGTTAAATTGACAAGGTATTTTGGTGAAGGGTATGGGAAGAGAGGCCTCCCTCCTGCTCTTATAGTGTTACTCATCTTGTCCCCTTGAAGATGTGAATCTTCGAAAGGAACTTTCCCAGTCAAGAGCTCAAAGCAAAGCATCGCGAAGCTGTATACGTCTGCTTTCTCCGTGTATTTGGAACGACCTTTGTTTCCTGGTTGCTCTTGCTCAGCTAGGACTTCCGGGGCACACCAAATCAAAGGGTTGATTTCGTTCTGCTGCTGTGATTTTCGATAAGTAGGTTTGCGCACGCATGATAAACCAAAACCTGAGACTTTTACATGAAAATAGCCTTCTGTGCAGCTCCTTGCCTTAAGAAAGACATTCAAAGGGTTCAACTCCCCATGGTAGATCTTCCTAGAGTGGAGATATTCCATGCCTCTTGCAATCTGAAGCATGATATCAACCACTACCGGGAGTGAAAACAAAACCTGCCTTCTTGCGCCACAGTTTTCCTTCATGTAGCAGCGCAGATCCTTGTTCATCAACTCCATAACAAGAAAGCATTCCTTCTTTTCCTCGTCATAAAACCCGGAAAGGTACTGCAGCACATTGGGGTGGGAAAGTGTGAGAAGAGTTGAAATCTCCGAATTCAAAGGTTCAATATCCCCAAAGAAGTGTCTCATGGCAAAGTTCTGGCCCAACCACTGGATCTCCTTGTACTGCGTTCCCCCTCCTAACCGCCGCCTAACATGGTAATCCGCTGATCCCAATAAGATTGAGCTCGGAAAGAGCTTCCCATTTAAGGTTTCCGACCCACTCAGTTTCTTGAGCAGCAAGTCTCCAAGCTGCTGCTCATTCCTCGTTGAACCAAAGGATCCTGAAATCTTTTTCACCTTAAGAGCTTCAACAAGCCGCCATCTATCTTCCCTCCAAGCACTTTCCAACCTGTTGCAAATCAACTTCGGGACCAAATACTGCTTCCCAAATCTCCATTGGAAAAGTTTGGGGTCATTCCACTCCCTGTCATACTTCCTCGTGAGCAGAACCCTCTTCTTGTGCATCTCCTCCTGATCGAGCCCCGCAATCTCTCCAGCATTCTCAATCGCCTCAATCACGGCTGCATAGTGGCAGAACAAGTTGTGGATGTGAAATTCGACGCAGTCCTTGTTCTGATGGAGGAGGATTGTTTTGCCCCACCAGTTTTTCACATCCATGCAATGCCGCATATAAAGCTCCCCTTCCTTGAAAACCCTGTGCAGCTCCCTCAGAGGCTGCTCGAGGGCTTTCCATTTCGTCTTCTTCTCTTCGAGTTTTAGGTTCAACTGGATCTCCTCTCCGATCGTGTCAAACGCCAACGTGAACACATCATGCAACAAACAGCACTGGCATTGATTGATCAGAATCTCATCTCTCAACATCATCAGAGCCTTCATACTTCCCAAAACCTCTCCAATATGCCGGAATTGTTCCATTCCGGCTCACACAGCGAAAAACTTCCCGATACAGACAGCAATCCGGACAGAAATCAAGCAACCAAACTCCGATCAAATTCTCAAGATCCTCTGCCAATACAACCAAAAACAAACACACGAAACGAAAACAAAGGTTTTAATTACATTTGATCATCAAGATTACAACTTTACAACCATACATCAAAACCCAAAAATACAAAATTGTTTCATCTAATTTGAGATTAATTAAGAAAATAAATTAAGAAAATTCAAATTAATTAAAGGTTTTCATCAAATTAACCAATAACTACGTACCCTGAGCCAAAATTCAAACTTTAATTTCTCTTTTATTGGATGCAGAAATATCCAAATGAGCCAATCCACGTCGAATCCTGACCCTGACCCAAAAATCTGATCAAACCGACATCAATTGGAATCAAATCAAAAGATTTCAAAAGATTAAGGAAACTGAAAAGAAACCAGACAACAATAAGGAGAAAAATTACAGACCGTTTCAGTTGCTGTTTCTGGTATCCGGTGTCGGGTCGGAATTCCCACCCAAGTTACGGTCAAGCATTTATCTGAACCGCCTCCTGATAAGGCGGTATGGTGGTCATTGGACAGAAACCGAATCAGAACCAGAAAAATGATGAAACAACGTTTGACGAACAGAAACAAAAACAAGTGACGGATTTTCCGAGGCAGCCGTTTGTCACCTTCCGTAACGATTTTTTATTTATTAATTTTCCGAATAAAAAAAACTGAAACACCTGACGACACAAGAGGAAGAAGAACAGAACGAACCAAAAAAAAAAATGGAAAAAGAAAAAGCTGCAATCTGTTTTTTAATTTTATTTTTTCTCTCGAACGAAAAAAAATTAACAAAAATTAAAAAACAGACTGCAGCTTTTGGGGGAAAATTAAAAGGAAAATGGAAAGTGTTGAGGGGCAGAAGGGAGGCGTTTGGGTCCGTTTTCTCTGGGACTCTATTTATATTGTCTCCCGCGTTTTTCGAGTTCCTTAAGGACAAGGAAGACAACGTTCTTATTATGCTGTTTACCTTCTCGGTCTGCGACTCTGTACTCGCTTGTTTTAGCGGGAGAATGGTCCGACGTCGTTCTGAGGTGGGCGTAGGACTGGCTGCCCAGTCAAAAGACTCCAAGGTGTTATTTAGGGCTTCGAGTTTGAACAATGAGCTGTGATGAGGTGTTTTCTGTATGAGTAAACTAAATAAGGTATTCCTCTTCAACTTGTGATGAGATACATGAGCGATAAATTTACAAAAGGGGCTCGAGAAGCGATATATTTGAGTGTTAAAAATTGAATACCCGTTCTGAGTTAACTCAAACGCGAGAGATTGAAAAATAGTAATTTTGAACTTTATTGGTGAATGAATACAAGTTTTAATACAACTAGAAATGAATTCGCAATGAGCTTGCGCCCAAAGTTCCTACTTCGATTCCCAATTCCTAATATTCATGTTTGAATATTCTATCTGTAATTTAATGTAAAAAAATCGTTGATATATCAAATACACATATCTTAATATCTTGGTTAAATTTCTATCCATCTTTTTTTTTCCACATCACGATGTTACCGTTGTTCCATATGTTCTAAAGCTTTCAATTCAAACAAATTAAATTATGTCAATTTTGTTTCAAGCCGAATGTTTTATGTGAAATTAGCTTGGATGTGGCAGGTGACAGCAATAAACTTGGATTATATTAATTCCTTGATTTTGACGGTAATATTATATTATACATAAAATATAGGATTTGACAATATTTTTTTTGTTGGAAAAAGATAATATAATTAGAATTTTTAATAAGGATTTTTAACCAAAATGATATTCGAAATTAACATAACTCATTATTTTAGTTTCTAAGAATATTAAAATCGATTTTGTTCATCATCAATTATTTTGATACTTCTATGACAATCTTTATTAAATAGGGATAAAATGATAAAAATACCTTTAAATTTTGTCAAATCATTTTAGTCTGTTTATTAAATGAAAGGTATTTTTTTTGCATTGTGGTCCCTATTTAACAAATTTAAAAAAAAAATTAATTAAATGATTAATGATAGACAAACTTAATGATCACTTCTATAAATTTCAAATTTCATAAACCCAAATGCCTTTTGGTTATTCATAAACGACAAACACTAAACCAATAAGTATCCCTTAATGGCATAATCTAGGTGGTCTAAGTCAATGGGGGATATGCCACGTAGACCACTAACGGTTGTTAACGAATGGAAACACACGTTTGAACAATTCAAAGCTGCTGCAGAGGAGAGAGGGCAATTACTTAGTATATTTAATTATCACCGGAAATGCATTAATTAAGATTTAAGATGTGCTTAATTGCTTTTTTCAGTTGTTTTCCAACATAACATGTAGTAGGACAAGCTGCGTGTAACGGCGTTTATTTTCTGCTGATCAACGTAACGTAACACCATATTGAAAAGAATACAAGAATTTCACATCGAAAAATTGATAAACGGAATCCGTAAATAAGACTACATTGTGGGACTTGTAATAGAAATGAGACCTAAGGCCACACGCTTGACGTGCAGTGCAGGTGATAAAATGCAAGTCGAAAACAATACGGTGGTTGGTCATAAAAAAAGTCATGGAATGGCGAACAAACAAATCGCAAAGCAAATTACACACAAGCAATACCAAGTTGGCATGCAGCTGAAAATACACAAATAATCAAATAATTCTGTTGATACATTCGACTAATGAAACGTTTTATAATTAGTAAACTATATTTAGTGTCATAACCTACATCATCCAACCTGCAACCTTTCTTCCCAAGAGTCTAGACAAGCATCATTTTTACACTATGTACAATACTTGAACAAAGTGAAAGTTCGTGCAAACAACATTCGTGAAACACACAGAAATTACATCATATATCTTTCGTAAAGAGAGTCAATTCTGCAATTCATTAAACCTCAGGATTAATGAATTTTTCTGGACACGACAATTAATTCGTCGCGACACACCATTAAAGGATATAATCTAAAAGCAGAACAGCAATGAATAACTAAGAAAGAAAAATTATGAGCTGATCAAGCAAGATAATTATTCATTGAGCGTATCAAGGTACAACAAAACTATAATCGCTAAACCGAAATTCCTTCCACATGCCGGTTAACTGAGGAGGAATTAACAACAGACTACAATTTAATCAAAATATTACAAAATTACAAGAAAAGACATCAGATGATACAGATTCAAGATTCGAAAAGCTTGCAGAGACGGTGTCAATGAAAAAAATACAGAAGCGAGAAATAAACACTACAGGTAGCCTAAAGAGCCCACTTAAACTACCAGTATACAATATATTTTTCACAGAAGAAGCTCCTAGAAGTAGTCGATCAGTCCACATAAAGAAATAGCTCAGGGGAAAGTATGGAACTCACATGCTTAACAGTGTTGTGCCAACTCTTAATGACCCCTCCATCTTGGACTTGAAATGGGGAAAAACCCCGAAGGAGATATTGGAAACAAAATGCCGGGAGAAGGTGGGGGTTGAGGCCCTGGACCTAATAGCCCTGATTGGCCCATGGGAGAAAACTGAAAATTGGGGGTCCATGGTGGAGGAAACTGTATCCCAGGTGAAAGCAATGGATAAGGTGACCGTGGTGACAACAAGTTCATGTAACCCGTTGGGGATGGCAACAAAAACTGTGAAGTTGGTGAGGGTAAGAGGGGAGGACCCATCATCTGTGGGTGCTGTAGATTAGTTGCATGTGGCCCAGGGCCGTTCATTCTCGGGGGTGGGTGAGCAGATATGGATGGGTTAGGAAGTAAACCGGTTGATGGTGGCTGAGACTGCATCTGATCTGAAACTTGTGGTTGAGGCTGAGGTTGGTTTCCCCTTGGAGTTGGATCTAACATAGAACTTTGAAGGTACCGCATATATGCTGAGATTGGAGACTCAGCTGTATTTTGCCACATTGAATCTCCAGGTGGAAATGGCGGCATTGGTGTAGGTGATGGATGTCCAACCTGAGGAGGCCTAACAAAGTTATTATTGTAGGGAACCAGTGGTTGGCCTGCAGGAAGAGGAGCTGGAGGTGGGTTTAAGGGTCTATTGTTGATAGGCGTTAACGGGGGAGGTCGAATTCTCTGCAACCGCATACTTTGGGGCTTTGGCGGATTCTGGGGAGGTCTAGGCAAAGGTTCCTGTGATGGAGAACCAGTAAGCTTCTGAACTATGTTCCTGAAATCATTCTTGCTTATGTTGTATACCTGAGGCTGAGGTTGTTGCCTTGCGTCATTATTACCAAATTTGGGTTGGTGCAAGGGACTCTTCCTTATATTTTTCCCCATTTTGTTCACACCCAAATGATCATTATGCATGTTTGCAGAGTTATCCATTTTGAAGAAACTCACAGATACTCACACCAGCTACCAATTTAACTTTTGACAATGTCCCACAATGTCAAACCATTCTGATACTTTGAAACTGCAGCCAAAGCTTGAAATTGAAGCTCAAACCACTTCCCAGCTCCTTGAATCTCACTTCAACCAGGCCAACAGAAATACGTGATTGGCTAAATACTTTTTTGGTGAACAGACCAGATACCTCAGTGTTGCATGTTAGAAACAGCAGAACAATCCAATTCTCTTTTGGCAACCTGCATGCTAAAAATTGAAAAGGTCAAGTAATTCCCTCCAAAATAAACTTAAACAAATACTAATTCCCTATCTATTATTATATCTAATATCCTACTTGAAAGTTGAAAGTCAAAAACAAATCAATCATCAGCAGAAACGTTAGAATTCCTAAGTATAAATTCCCCCATAAAAAAAAAAAAGAAATTCAAAAATTACAGTAACTAACCTAAGGGAAATGAAACTAGTGTGTATTCATGATAGCTGTCTATAAACTGATTTGCGTTAGTAAATGCCCATGTTTCATTGCGATTATTTTGTGTTTGGGTCCAATTTGGTTAACCTATGTTTGACATCGAATGCTAAACCAACTTGTGTATTTTTTGGTTTTATTTGTAGAAGGCAATGACCAAGTCAGTCCTATTGTTTCAAAGATTGTTTAAAAAAGGTTGCAGGGGACAATAGTGTCCTCCCCTATAACATTAGGCAAGGACCCCTATCTAACCACAGGCTCCTAAGAACCAGTGCTTCTATTTTTTAATCTATATCAATGAAATGCTCATTCCCGCCATATTTTGATGAAAAGCTTTACTGAGATTACTATTATGATCTTAACACAAATTATAGTTAGAATAAGTACTTTTGTAAAAGTCAAGTTACTGACTGTACTCGATTGGTATTGACTAGAGGAGAACACTAGTTTAGTATAGAATGGAAAAACCTATTGGTTCTAAGCCATCTATGGTAAGGCCCTTTGACATCACTGCCTTGGCTAAGAATTCTTGATCTGATTACACAGAGAAGATAGCCAACCACCAACAATGTTGGAGGGAGCTAACGCTCGAGGGGGCACCCCCTCTTTTTTTTTTTTTTTTTTTTGGTTGTCACCAAATGAGGACTCAATAGATGTACAAACTTTCCTTCAAATCGCTAACTGCCCCTTTAACTTCTTTATGTTTTCCTTCTCTCACCATGTTCACCTCATAAAAATTTTCTATTTTTCTGATTCTAAATTTTGAAATTTACAATATACCTCAAATTTCTCTCAATTTTTATTTCATAACCTTATCTGCTTCATATATTAAAAAAGTAAAAGTAATTTTGTTAGTGTGGAAATCTAATAAATTACGTTTCTTTAGTTTTGTTAGTTCAAGTTCAATTTACATTCACAGCAAGCAACCAATACATTAACAGAAAGAAAAAGGTTGAGATTTTAACCTGCAGATTCAGCAAAAGCAACCAACATCCCCCAATTCAATGGTGAACTCCTTCTCCAACAAAATAAACCCTTCCTACGTTACACAAATTTAGAGAAATTAGAATCAAACTAATAAAATAGAAGCCAAAATTTAAACTGAAACCCTTCAAAACCCTAACTGCAACCCGAGAATGAAATTGCAATTGACCCTTTAACTGAAATGAAAACCCTGTGGGTTCAAAACCCCTCAAAGATATTGAAATTAAGCAAAACCCTAATTCCAAAAAATGAAAGTTGACCTCATATAGTGATGTTACCTTAAATTTGAGTTCGAACTTGAAGAGGGAGGATGGACTCGTCTAAAATTGCAAAGAGTAGAAGAGGCGGATGGATGCTTCTGATCCAATTTTAGGGTTTTGGATTTTGGGGAAATCGGGGGTTTTCAGGATAGGTGGTCGTGGTGGTGTGGTTGCCGGTGTTTATGGTGGTTTTAGGACTTTCGAGAAGAGAGAGAGAGAGAGTCGAAGACCAAATCAAAAGGAAGAAAGAATTAAATCACGGTCCAATCAAAAGATGCGGAAATTGCTTTAGCTAGTCATTCCTTTCTTCAATAACCGCGTGAGACTATTTTTATGGTAGAATAAATTAAAATTTTAAATTAAATGATGTGTCATTACTAAAAAATTCAAATAAAAATTAATAAAATAAATTTGAAAATTTTAAGTTTTAACAATAATGACAAAATAAATGAGAAAATGAAGATTGACTTTTTAGTGTAAAAATATAATTTTTCATTAAAATGAACTGATAACTTTCGTTAAAGTTCTAAAAAATAAACGCGTTAATTAATATTTAAGTAATAATTCAATATCAACGTTCATAACATTTGGTTTAGAAATTTGGTTTCTTATTACTCTTTATCGTACATAATCATAACGTGTATTAAGTATGTATATGTGAACACGAAAAATTCCTGAAACGAAAGAGACAAGAACAACGTGCACAAAATAATATTTGTATTTGATGATTTTGGGTTACAATCTCTCTCAAATTTGATCATCTGATTCAATCTCCGTAAGGTGTTGATTTGTGGATGTGCGATTGATCCAAAGGGCCGTTGGGCTTGATCTAAGGATGAACGTTCTTCAAGGGCCATTGAGCTTGATCTTGAAGGTGGATTTGAACGGATCTTCAAGGAGCCGTTGGGGCTTGATCTTGAGGATGAGCGTTTCTTCAAGGACCGTTGAGGCTTGATCTTGAATAACGGTGATGAACGGATCTTCAAGGGGCTTTTGGGCTTGATCTTGAATAACGGTGATGAACGGATCTTCAAGGGCTTTTGGGCTTTGATCTTGAAGGACGGTTGGATGTGTGGATTTGTCGACGTTGTTGATCCAAAGGGCCGTTGGGGCTTGATCTTAGGATGAACGGATGATGAACGATGATGAACGATGAACACTTTCTTCAAGGGCCGTCGGGGCTTGATCTTGAATTGGTGGAAGTTCTTCAAGGGCCTTTTGGGCTTGATCTTGAAGGTGGATGATTGTTGATCCAAGGGTCGTTGGGGCTTGATCTTGGAAGAACGATGAACGAAGAACGAAGAAGGCTTTCTTGATTCTTCGGGAACCTGGATGCTTGAGAGCTTCGGAGTTTTAGAGCTTCAGAGCTTCAAGGTGTAATATAAATTCGTTTTTTTAATGAATAAAATTGGCTTCTATTTATAGAATTTTCCAAGGCCTAATTTTGAATATAATATTCCAGATGAAATAAGTCATTTCTGCCAGGTGTTGACACGTGTCCTGTTTGATGACTTTTCTAACTTATTTCGATTTTTTGTTTAGACACACGCTATGTGTAAAATTTATGTAATACATGAGCGTTGAAACTTTGATTTATCGATCAACATTTATTTACCGAAATTTCGATGTCTACAAATGCCCCCACTTCAAGGCGCGTTGTATACATGTGCTTGTCACGTGTAGGAGATGCGTTTTTGAAGTCCCTTACTGTAGATGTCGATCCAAGGGCCATCGAGGCTTGATCTTGAATTGGGCTTGAGATTTCTTTAGGGGCCGTTGAGGCTTGATCTTGAATTGGGCTTGAGATTTCTTCAAGGGCCGTCGAGGCTTGATCTTGAAGGTTGAAATTGGACCACAATGAGCTTCATGTGGTAGATGATCCTTGGCTTTGGTAGTGGATGAATCGGCACGTATTTTGTTGCACTTGTTGACTTTCCACAGCTTTGATCTTGAACTGGGTTGGAGGATTTTCTGGATTCCTCCAGTTGTTGACTTTCCACAGTTTATTCTTGAACTGGGTTTGATTCAAAGGTGGTTGACGCTTGATCTTGAATCGGACTTGTGATTTCCTAAAGGGTCGTCGAGGCTTGATCTTGAACTTTGGCTGGAAGCTTCTTTAAGGGTCGTTGAGGCTTGATCTCGAAGGTTGATTCGAACACATGTCAAGCAGGCACGAGGTAAAGGTGACGGCCTGTTTCTTTGTTCAATCTTTCTAATTCACACCTGAGCAGTTTGGTCAACGGTATGATCTTTAAGATTGATGGGCTCTTCTTCCAGTTGGTGACTTGATCTTTAAGGATTTGATTCAAGGGTGGTGACTCGGCACGTGCAGCCCACAACGCCTAGCGAGTTGACCCAAGTATTTGAGGGTCAAAACGAGTCCTCCACCCAGAGTGATTGCAACCCTGATGATATGAGATACTCTTGCTTCCGAAGAAGTAGCGGATGAATCGGCACGTGCTTTGTTGTGCTTGTCTCTACATGCTTCAATGTATCGTTTGCCTTATCTATTCTTCTGGCAGAATGTGACATCTTATCGAGTTCCTTAGCTCATGCTCCTTATTCTCTCTAATTCTTCAACTCGGACTCCTTCTGCTGAGTTGATTGTGTATGCCGCATTTCCTTATTTGTTCTCCAGGCAGATGTGGCATCTTCTTAAGTTCCTCAGCTCAGACTCCTTCTGCTGAGTTGACTGTGCAGGCCGCATTCTTCTTTGCTTGTTCCTTCTGCACGTTGTCTCTACATGCTGCAAGGTATCATTTTCACTTGCCTTATCTGTTCTCCAGGCAGATGTGGCAGCTTCTTTGGAAGTACAGCAACAGTGGAAGACGAGTACTCGAGGGCAGTGCTAGGTAGGCAATCAGGGAAGGGTTCCAAGCAGTCGATTCCTTACCCGAGTTTGAGTGGAGGTTCCGACATATTGTTTTCTTTATCCTTGTCTTTGCAGGTAAGAACAAGGACAAAGGAAAGGACGAGGAGAAAGCATGATATGAGATACTCTTACTTTCTACCCTGGTGATATGAGATACTTTTGCTTTGGTGTCATTTGTTTGCAGACGTACCCCAAGGAATAAGGAACACTGAGTGACTCGAGAGGTTCCGTTGGGAAGACATTCTTGGAGATGAAGAAAGGTTCTGTATGTCTGCCTTGCTATGAAGGGTGAAGGTGGACGGTTATAGGAAATTCTTTAATACCTGTAGAGGTACTATTCTTTCACTCGTGTCGGCAACCATTGAGTGGTTGATCAGTATGGCTTCACGTGTTTTCTTCTTCATAAAAAATCTTCGACAAATTGTCCGTAATTTCCGCCAAGCTGAATGCGCATGTGACAGGTGTTGACGAGGATGAAAAAGACTGGCGTCTCTTCGATATCTGGGATCGGCACTTCGACAAATTGCCCGTGATTTCCGCAAAGCTGAGTTTGCGTGTGACGGGTGCTGACGCATTTGGAAAAGCAAGATGCCTCTCCGATTTCTAAGCTTGCCTCTTCGATTTTTTTAATTGGCTTCTTCGAATTATGAGCTCGCCTCTTCGATCTCTGAAATCCCGTCGAGTGCTAATTTTTATAAAGGCACGCAGTTCGTTTCAAAGCACACTTGAATTTTCGCTCGTAGAAACTCCCTTCTTGCACTTCTAAGATCTTGATTCGTCCGACCTCTTCTTTCTTCAACGCCTTTGAAAATGTCTGGACCCTTCGACCGTCGTTTTGACTTGAACTTTGGTGAAGAGGCAGTCCCGCCTTCTCCAGACAACATATGGCGCCCATCCTTCATATCCCCTACTGGTCATCTTACCGTTGGGGATTCGATGATGAAGAATGATATGACCGCTGCGGTGGTGGGCCGGAACCTTGTCACTCCCAAAGATAACAGACTACTTTCCAAACGGTCTGATGAGTTGGCTGTTAAGGATTCTCTGGCTCTCAGTGTGCAGTGTGCAGGTTTTGTGTCTAATATGGCCCAACGTCTATTTGCTCGAACCCGTCAAGTTGAATCATTGGCGGCTGAAGTGATGAGTCTCAAACAGGAGATTAGAGGGCTCAAGCATGAGAATAAACAGTTGCACAGGCTCGCACATAACTATGCCTCAAACATGAAGAGGAAGATTGACCAGATGCAGGAATCTGATGGTCAGATTTTACTTGATCATCAGAGGTTTGTGGGTTTGTTCCAACAGCATTTGCCTTCGTCTTTTGGGGTTGTACCGCGTAATGAAGCTCCAAATGATCAACCTTCAATGCCTCCTCCTCCTGAGGTTCTACCTAGTACTGAGGCTCTGAATAATCACTCTTTGGTGCCTCTCCGATCTGGGGCTCCGCCGAGTACTGAGGCGCCATCTGATCAACCTTGAAGATCCCCTCCTGTAAATTTGATTTGTCTCTTATTTATTTATTTATTATTTTTTTATGGCATGTGGAATGCGAATTTATGTAAATTTTTTTAGAGAAATAAATAAAAGATGGGCTTTACTAAATGCATTATATATATATATATATATATATATATATATATTTCATATGTTTCTCATGGTGCCAGATGCACCACCACTTCCCTCTTTTTTTTTCTTTTGTCACATGGTGCCAGATGCACCATCATCATTTTTTTTAATCACGCACCCACTATCCTTTTTTTCATATGGTGCCAGATGCACCATGTTCCCTCATCATCATTTTTATTATTTTATTATTTTATTTTATTTTATTTTTTTCTTTAATCATGATGCAGTGTTCCATCATATATATATTTTTTATTTTTTATTTTTTATTTTTGTATAAATTTGGATGACGGGATGGGGAATTTGCAGTAAAGGATGAAGACGGACGGAGAGTTGCTATCGAGGCTTCATGACCGGCTAGTCGTTTGACGGCGGTTATTGAGGTTGTTGGCAGCGGCGAGGAGCTGCAACTTGTGTCGTCGGTGCCTTTTGTTGATGTTGTCTCTGTTTGCTGCGAAGGGGAGTGCCGTTCATTGTTGATGGGCCCGCCGTGTTTCTTGCTGCTGATGCCATCATTTTGCACCATAACCAGTTCGGTTAGCTCGACTCCGACGACCGCGGAGTAAGCAGCAGCTCAAACTTTGATTGCTGAGAAGGACGAGGACGGACAGAGAGCATGGATGGGGGAGGACGATCATAGCAGAGAAGAGGAAGAAGTGCCTTACCGTGATCCACCAGCAACCCTTCATACATCGACATCACCTCATCGTCGGTCTTCCAGCTGCCGGTGGACTTGCCGTCTCCGAGGTCACTAGTTTGCTACTCCCTTTTTGTTGTC